CGGCGTTCCCCGCCGCCCCTCCGAACGCTGCTGGCCTCCCTCCTGATGCCATGGCTTCGCTCAAGCAGGCCCAGGTTATAATCTTTTTGCTTCCTTTTTTTTGGTTAGTTTTAGGGTTAAAATTTCACAAAACCCCTTTTGAAAGGTAAGGTGAAATGCTTGATTGCTAAGTTTGCGTGAAGTTTGTTGGTTAATACTGGAATTTGTGGAATCTACAAAGTTTTTAATGGTTTTTTGTGCAAAACCCTCCTAAGTTCAGGGGGTTTTGTGAAATTTACCCTTCATTTTGAGTCCTTGGGAAGGGGTTTAATTTCAGTTTGTCCTAATATAGGTGCGGAGGATGAATGTGTGCTTATTATTTTTAACAGGTTGAGTAGCAAGTTTGATGCATTTGACATGATTGAAAGTTCTTTATTGGATGCCTGTTCTCGCTTCTTGGATCTGAAGAGGAGATGATTGTATATACGGGTGGAAGATGAATAGATATTATCAAATTAGTTTGATTATTATTCGTCTAATCACGCCAATTGACTTTTTTGCTTATCCTGTGCACCAAGGGGAAAAAATGATTAATTTTAAAAGGATTAGGTATATCTACTGTAAAAATGGGTTGCGAGCTAACTTTATTTCATATTCAGCAAAACAGAATGAAAAGTGATAGTCATGAAAGTTTGCTTTTAGTATGTATATTACAGTGATTTGTTATTATTGACCACTAAGCATTGTGTACAAGGAACTGACTATATAGGGTAAAATAGGTTATATCGCTTAGTTCTTGGCAAATTTGGGATTTTTGTTATTAAGATTCATATTGTAAGCAAATTCTATGTTCAGGTAAATACAACATCTCTGTAAAGATTGAATACGTCTTTTTTTTAAAATTAAATTCTCTCTTCAGCATGAACCTTACTTTTCACTATATTTGCTATTAATGATCAAAATGTTACATGAATTACAGGCTTTCACTGGCAGTCCTCTGATTCAAGCTCGTAATTTTGCAGTCATGACTGGTGTAAATGCAGGTATATCTTGTGTCATGAAAAGAATAAGAGGAGTGGAGGATTTGGAGAGTAGGTGAGTCATTTATAATTCTACTCAGCTCGTTACACTTAGAACCAAACCCCTTCATTTCTGTATTCGCTTGATGTAAAAGCCTAAGTATGGAGTTGGGATGTTTAGATGGACTGTGTAATTGCTTGTTTTCTCAGTAATTCATTGACATTGTGCAATGCACGACACCAAAAAGGGAAAAAAACCAAAGGAAAGAGAAAACCTGCCACAGTTGGGGTATTTGAGGAGAAAATTGGTAGATATTATTAGCTTTAAGGAAAAGTTGCCTAAAAACAGTGTTGTTTAACTTTCGATTGAAGGGTGCAAAAACACTGACCTGATAGACAACACAGTAATGTTTAAACATATTACAGAGCTGACAGCTAGATAAAGGCATTATTTGACTATAGCAATTGAAGTTATTTGTACAATCATGAGTAGTCCAGAGTATTAGATGCTAATTCACATCACATTGATTTAATACGCTATTATAATATTATTGCAGCATGGCAGCGGCATTTGGTTCTGGAGCAATGTTCTCATTAGTCAGTGGCATGGGAGGCCCAAATCAGGCAGTCAATGCTGTCACATCAGGACTTTTCTTTGCTCTTGTTCAAGGTGGCCTTTTCAAGGTAAGAATTCAGAAGAACCTCCAATTTCTAAGAAGTTTATTCATGTTTGCAAGTATACCCTTGCTCAGCTATTAATGCGCGTGAGAATTTCCATTACAATTAACATGATGAGCAATCTGCAAGTATAGTATATTGCATTACCTGAATAAGTTTATTTTTTGACTGTAGTTTCTTTTAAACTCCAATTTCTAATAAGTTTATTGCATTACCTGAATAAGTATAGTATATTGCATTACCCTTGCTCAGCTATTCAGATGCTATCTGATGGACCAAACTACAATAACTGCAATCACAAACAGCAAGGCCTGTAATTTTAGGGGCCACATACATGCGTCCCTTTTCTCCTTTTAGATTTGTTAAGGCCATACATTCTGTTAACTTATTGATAATCAGTACCTGCTGTTAAATCTCTGATCACCACATATTTCTTTATTGCAATTCATTTGAGAATACTCCCGAGTCCTGGCCACCCCTCATTTTCATTTTGTGGTACTCGTAATCCTGCCACTCCTCATTGCATGTGAAACCATCTCAAGCCAAGCAACACTTGCTCATCTTATTCTCAACTGAAAATATCTCAACTTCTTTCCGATAATCTAATTTCTTATCCTGTCTTGTAGTAAAATTTTACTCATCCTTCTCAACATGTGTTGCAACCACACTCTGTTTGAGATAAATATCTCCTGCTGTAGCATATGTTGATTGTAAAATTGAACATCATTGCAGTCAAATCCCTGTTGTACGACCACAGTGTTTTTTGGCTTAATTTATATATGAATATTATATAGCTGTTGGTGCAGTACGGACAACTGAAAGCGCTTTTGAAGTATATAGAAAAGTCTTTAAAATGTTCTTTTTCTATATCTTATAGAATTTTTTGGCAACTATTGTTTAAAAAGTATGTATGGATGGTAATTGGCATAAATATAATCAACCAGTTAGATACTATTCTTTTTAAGTTATTGTTATTTGAAGAGGCCACTAATTTTTGCTCACAACTCCCTTCTGGATTGAGAGTTTCTATTGCCGGAGCTTCCTCAAACTTTTGTCATGACTCAGGGCCATCAGAGATTTATGGCTTTGGAACTGGCAATGACTGTAGAAGATTAGCCACATGTCCTTGTCAACCTACATGGTGCATGTTGAGTTCTTGATATTTTGTACAATTTAGGGATGCATCTCTTTCTTCAAAATTGCTGTCATTTCTCTAATACCAAATAGGCATGAGAACACTCATGGAAAACTACCGCAAATCAGCTACTGACTTTGTTTCTGTTGGAGTCGTTCATCATGGTAGGTTTCATATAATCTACTACTACTATTTCTATAGTCTAGCTTAATCATCAAATTGGCACATTCTCCAACTTATGTGGTTCAGACTATTTGGTGCAATCAATTCACTCTCATTTTATCCTCAATAGGAGCAACATATAACCTCTTACTGATGCACTCATGTTTCATCCTATCGTTTAGTGCATATCTACAAGATCATCATTGCACTGTTTTTTCTCCTGCACTCATTTTTTTGCACATGTTTTTCTTAATTGCCCAGTATTATGATCCACAACTCATTGTTGGTCATATAAGATTCCCTCTTACTCCAATTTTGAAAAAACACACTCACTATAGCTTATTTGTTATAGCCAAAACAAGACCCGATCAAATTCTTCTTATTTGCTAAATGTGCTTTATGGTTGATTCACCTATAGCTTGATTTTTTTAAAATACTAGGTCTGATTTTCCTATGACTTCTGCAGTTTGGTCAGAAATTCTCGCAACAGCCGGCTGAAGATATCTATTACTCCCGTTCAAAAAACATGCTGACACGACTTGGTCTTCAAAAATACGAGAAAAACTTCAGGAAAGGCCTGCTTACTGATAGTACCTTGCCTCTTCTCACAGATAGGTAACTAGCAAAACTTGGGTGCTTTTCTTTTATATCACTACTTCATGTTGTTAACTTTCATATATTTTGGTTCAGCGCTCTCAGAGATGTCAAGATTCCTCCTGGGCCCAGACTCATCATTCTTGATCACATCCAGAGGTACATATGTTAATGCCCTTAAATGTTATCCTGTACGAGAAAGTATCGGCAATAGATGTGCACCTAGGGGATATCAACCTATGGATTAGTGCACGTATCGCGAAGTTCAGTTATCCAAATGTTGATATCCCTTCGGTGCACCTTTGTTGTCATGGGTCGTCCCCACTGAATACCTTCTCATCCCGTGGACATTTCATTACTTTTAATCGCAATGCGTCTATTTAGTACTTGTTGGGATCTATGCGAAAGTGGAAATGAATGCAAATCACAAGGCATATCTTGGGTGCTAACATCTTAACATTAATGTTCGGTTATGATTGAAGTAATGCTTATTCCATGATTCTTTTGGCGATGCTTACAGGGATCCGGAGTTGAAGAAGGCGAAGCAGGCGAAGCACTGACGCTATCCTGGGGGATATTGCTTTTCTTTGAGCAAGTAGAAGCTATTTTGCAGTGAATTGAATAATTCAGTTTTATTTTTATCCTGTTTAAATAGTAGTTATATATTTTTTTTTCTAGTACTCGTTGCCTTCTTCTGTTGTGGGCATGTTGTTTACTTTTTCCTGAGAACAGTTGGGAGGGATGCATTATCTTTGAGAAGTAAATGCAGTAGGGGTGGAGGGTGTGAATGTTTGTTCTGTGGGCATTGGAGCTAGGGTGTTGATTTTCTTTGGAAATAATTAGCTCATCAAGGGGTTTCTGTTTCGATGATGAAAACTCTGAAAATAGCACATATTTCCTGTATAAATCTCAAGAAAAAAGGAAAAAAGGTTAAGACAAAAGGTTTTTTCTTTTTGATATTAGTCCCGTAAATCTTTCATAATGTGGATTTATTCGCTAAATCTTTCATATTTTGAAATTAGTACCCCAAATTGTGATATTTAGAAATTACTTTACCAAATCTTTAAAAGTATTTTTTAAAGGGGTTTTTCTCTTATAACCCAAAGTTTTACCCTCACTTATTAAAAAACCCACTTGCTTATGTAAATATTCATAAGCCCAAAGTATCTTATCCCACTTTCTTTTAAACCCAATATGTAAAATACACTCATCCTATATCGTATTTTCCCAATAAATTAAAATTTCCTCGACTACCCTTCGTCCCCAGATACAACATACACCCCTCCCCCTTACAGCCCCGTCTCTCTCTTTTATTTCACTTTCCCAAATAGAGCATATCTTAATAGACCTAAGAGGCAATTCTCAATTCCAAGAGGTAGGAAAAACAACATTAGCGTGAATTTGAGCCTGATCAAGGGCGTCACTAGCAAAGATCGGGTAAGCCACGGGTACCATGGCACCACAAGTGCACCGCCCACAACATATCATCATCGTCGCTGAGAAAGAAGTCGGATTTGACCCTTGTATCCAAGGTCCGATGCGGGCTCCTCATGTACTTCATGGTCAACCTACAGGAGGTCTTCCGCAAAACCAAGCTCTTCATCTTCTTCCCTACCATCTCCCCCACAGTTGTTGCTCACTCACTCAACTTATGGACAAAGTGTAGCACTTTATGCCGAAGCGTAGCACTTTATTTGTAAAGTGTAGCTCTTTATGAAATTGTATAGCTCTTTATGACTGAAGTGAAGCTCTTTAATGCTAAAGTATAGCTTTTTATTGTCTCTGAAAATTCTAAATTTGAAAAAAACCAATCACTATTTTTTTTGAGCAATGTAAATGTATGATGATATATACAATGTGATGTTGATCAATTCTTTATATAACTGACATGCCCACTCTCGGTTATGCGATTTCTGGGAAAAGTGTAACTCACTATGCTAAAGTTTGTTATTCTAAAAGTCTAGCTCTTTATTCAATAGTATACCACTTTATACCTGAAGTATAGCTCTTTAATGCTAAAGTGTAGCTCTTTATTGTCTCTGAAAGTTCTGAAACTGAAAATAAATCGAATCGTTATTCAGGACAATGTAAATAAATGACGATGTATATAATGTGTTGTTTGATCAATTCTTTATATAACTGACGTGTCCACTCTCGTTTATACAATTTATGGGCAAAGTGTAGCTCTTTATACAGAAGCGTAGCACCTTATTATAAAAATGTAGTTCTTTATACAATAGTATAGATATTTATGCCTAAAGTATAGCTCTTTAAAGCTAAAATATATCTCTTTATTATCTTTGGAAATTCTAAAATCGAAAAATAAATCCAATCGGTTTTTTTTTCTGAACAATGTAAATGTATGATGATATATACAATGTGCTATTTGAACAATTCTTTATACAACTGATAGGTCCACTCTTGTTTATGCAATTTCTGAGAAAAGTATAGCTCTTTATACTAAAGTATAACACCTTATTATAAACGTGTAGTTGTTTATACAATACTAGTATAGTGCACGTGCGTTGCATGTGAAATTGTATTTATTTCTTGTTCTAAATTTTTTTAATTATATAAGAACTTATCTAACACAATGGATAATTATAGTTGTTATCCTTGTCATGTATAAATATATATTACAATGTTCACTCATAAAGATAACTACAAATGAACCACAAATATAAAAATGCTTAATCGAATTTAATTTTTTTGATAGGTTTAATAATAAAGTTAACAAATTGTAAGAGTTAAAGTGTTTTAAAATTAGCATTGCATGAGAGTTTCTGAGGGAACATTATCATGTTTGCATGACTGAGGGTACTTGATGAGAGCCCCAAATTACTTCACACCACCAACGAATCAAGTAGTATTAAACCCAATCACCGACAAATCAAGCAAAATATGTAGCCCAAGAACGACAATATCCTCTTTAGTCTTTAGTTCCTTCAGCATGTAAATTCTTGTAACTATGCACTATTACTCCTAAGCACCAATGGCCCTGGAATCAGTACTAAAAGTACAATTTATAGAAATTTCAGGGTATTTAGGTGAATCTAAATATAACCGAGGGTCTATATGTGCAAAATATGTGAAACCAGGGCGAATTTAGATTCTTGAGTTGAGTTGTAGTTGCACCCCAAAAAATTTATAAATTGCATATAAGCCCTAGTAACATTTATAAGCTTCCCCCTTCGTTCTCCATAAACTTTAAAAACTACATCATAACCTATATCAAAACCCATTTAAAGAATTCCGAGCAATAGTTAATTTTGGGAAAGTTGGAAAAATTAAAAAAAAAAACTCAGTTACTCGATCATATAAAACCATCTTAGGAAACAAAAATAAGAACTAATTTAAAACTAATAAATAATTTGCAATAATTTTTTATTGAAACAAAAGTAAAAACTCACCATAAAATGGATGCTGCCCTCACTTCGGATTCATTTCCTCTCTAATTTGGTGGTAATTAGAGAGGATCCAATTATTCGAGTCATTAACTTTCGTTCTAATTTCAAGGACCGATCATAAACATCATTTGTAGAAATTAACATTTCTGTATTTTAAGGCAAGATCTTAGACACAAGTTGTATAAATTTGAACTTTTGTTTTAAAATCTTTTTTCTTTTGCACTATTGTCATATTGGTTTTCACAATAGGGGATTTTAATAGAAAAGTCGTTTTCAAAACAATAGCAAGAATTCTACGTGCCGTAATTTCATCCATTGAAATCCAAATATAGGATAAATATTGAAATTATTGGAGAAGATCCGGATCCCTCATAATTGAAGAGGAGTCAAACCTCTACTCTAACTATCATCTAATTGGAGAGAATTCTATTTCCCTCACTTAGAGAGCTCGGAATTCTTAATATTCTCTTTTTTCTAGCTTCTACGTACTATATATTGACATAGGTGTGTACATAAAAATATACATACATAGATATAGGTGTGTACATAAAAATATACATACATAGATATGTGGCAAGAAATGAAAACAAAAATACATAAAACATAGAGAATAAAGAATTAAAGATTTTGACCTGCTCGGATACCTCCAAAGCTAGTGCCTTCCTTCCATCCTCACTTTTTCGGCAGCTGCACCAATTTATTGATAAAATCAAACTTATTTACTGGATTCTAATAATCATACTAAACCAAGAAATGGGATTTTTTTTCCTAATAAACCTTCACCCAAGAAAAAAGGTTAAATTTTACCTTTTTGGTGAATCAATTGAGCTTCATGGTATGTTGATCAGAAATCTTAATCGAGTATAAGAACCTTGAACATCTTGCCACCTTTTGACAAATAAGTTGTTATAAACTGAAATATCAATACATGTGTTATATTATGCATCTTTATTGTGTTTGCATGTTAGTGGAAAAACATATATGTATTTATTATTTTTGACAATAAGTTGTTATAAACTAAAAGAATTATAACTCACACCCATATCTATTGATTACGGAGTAAATACCTGCAAAAGAATCCAAATGCCTCGTTGCCTTGGGACTTTTACGCTTACTCATGATATACTTGATATATTATAAATAATTATTAACATATTGCTAAGTATTTATTAGTCTATTAACATCAAATGTTAAATATTCCTATTAATCTAATTATAAATATTTATTTTTTATTATCGTTTCTTTAGTACATGTCAATAGATATTATTATATTGAGTTATTATTATATAATAATAGAGAAGGAGTTTAATTGAATTAATTTTTTAATAGTAGTGAATGCAATTTGGAGGTGTATTTATTACATTTAATTTAATTGGTGGTTATGATAGGAAATGTTCCTAGAGAGGTTAGGGATATGAATGTTTAGAGTCTAATTTTTAGTTAGTAGGGCTATTAAATTGATGATGATATTTAATTGGTAGTTACGACAAGAATTTGAAGCTTTGCATAGTAGGCTATGTTATTACATAGTATTACTATTATTACTACTACATAGTGTTATTATATTGAGTTATTATTATATAATAATAAAGAATGAGTTTAATTGAATTAATTTTCTAATGATAGTGAATGCATATTGGAGGTGTATTTATTACATTTAATTTAATTGGTGGTTATGAAAAGATTTGAAGGGAGTATGGTTTATGTATGTATGTGTTTTATGTATTCATATATGTGTTTTTATGCATGCATGTATGTGTTTTAGCATGACTTGGAGGGTATTTTCGGAAGAAATATTTTAATATGAGAACATACTTTTATAATACTATTAGATTAGATTATAGCCCTTTATGCCTAAAGTATAGCTCTTTAAACTAAAGTATATCTCTTTATTATATTTGAAATTAAATTCTGAAACCGAAAATAAATCAAATCTATTTTTTCTGAACAATGTAAATGTGGGATGATGTATATAACATGTTGTTTGAACAATTCTTTATATAACTGGCATGTCTATTATCGTTTATACAATTTCTAGGAATGTAGTTCTTTATACTAAAGCATAAAACTTATAATAAAATTGCAACTCCTTATGCAATAGTATAGCTATTTATTCCAAAAATATAGCTCTTTAATGCTAAAGTATAACCCTTTATTGTCTTTGAAAATATAGAAAATACATCGAGTTAGTAATTTTTTGATCAATGAAAATGAATGACTATGTATATAGTGTGTTGATTCTTCAATTCTTTATAACTGATATGTTTAGTCTCATTTACATAATGTCTGAATAAAGTGTAACACTTTGTGCCAAAATAACACATTATTTCTAAAATATAGCTCCTTGTATAGTTGTATAGCTCTTTATAGCAGAAGTGTAACTTTTAATTGATAAAATATAGTTCTTTATTGTCTCTAGAGATACAAAAAATAAATTGAGTCAGTAATTTTTATATATAGGAAAATCTGATACAATTATTATAGCGTGTACATTGTATACATTTCTACTAGATACACTGATAAATTTTTAATAGAAAATTTGATACAACATGATACATTGGATACTACTTGGTGCATTTGATGCAATACACACGAATAATCTATACATACATAATATAAAAATTTCATACAACACGGTGCTGTAGGTAATAAAAATTGCCTTTAATCCCTATTAGAGAAGTTCAGAACAAGACTGCTAAAACCTCGCCCGAAATAGCAAAAAAAAGAGAAAACACTGATATCTCTCAAACTGGAAGGAATTTGGCGAAACGGACATGAGGAAACTGAACTCTGTTCTTCGTATATAATTCATATATAATTTGTCTCATCGAGATAGTTGATTTTCATATATAATTCGTCTAATTCCGAGTTACAGTTTGAAAGTTACAACCTGTTCTTCGTAGCATGTTCTGGAGCTCGCCTGAAGAGCAATCCTGCATGCAAAGGAGTTTAGCTCGCATGAAGGCTTCAAGCTTTTTAAGCTCGTTAAATGAGGCTGGATCGCTTGCATAGCCTCGCCTACCAAGCTCGCCTGCAGGCAAGCTCGCCTGACAGCTTGGAGCTCGCCTGACGATCCCCTTGGGCTCTCCTAATGCTTGAAGCTTGCCTACATGATCCAGCCTCGCCTGCACAAGGTCGCCTACAGAGCTCACCTGATAGCTTGAAGCTTGCCTACATGATCCAGGCTCGCCTAAAGGCAAGTTCGCCTGCACAGCCTAGCCTATAGAGCTCGCCTGATAGCTTGAAGAGGCTCGCCTAAAGGCAAGTTCGCCTGCACAGCCTAGCCTATAGAGCTCGCCTGATAGCTTGAAGCTTGCCTGCATGATCTAGGCTCGCCCAAAGGCAAGTTCGCCTGCATAACCTAGCCTGCAGAGCTCGCCTGATAGCTTGAAGCTTGCCTGCATGATCCAGGCTCGCCTGAAGGCAAGCTCGCCTGACAGCTTGAAGCTCGCCTGCATGATCCAGCCTCGCCTGCACAAGCTCGCCTGCACTCACATGCACAGCCTTGCCAGCTCGCCTAGCCTGTCAGCCACCCACTTGAAGCATGAGAGCAGTCAAATCCCTTGAATTAAGGGATTGGTTATCCTCATGACCGTACCCAGCATGAGAATAGTCATTTTCCAAGATTTAAGGGATTTGGTCATGATTCTCCTCATGGCCATACTCAGTATGAGAATGACCACTTCCCATGATTTAAGGGAGTGATTACACTCTCCTTCTTCTCTATAAAAGGCCATGAGCAGCCATAGAGAAAGGGTCTTAGGACCTGACCTCTTTGAGAACGAATTACAGAGAACTCAAGACCATCTTGGACTCGAGATCAGCCTTGTTCCAGGCACGCCGTTGGCGGAGTCTTGGTCTTTGGAGAACAGACTTCTTGTTATCCAAGAAGACCGAATTCTTGTCATCTTTAGCCTACAAGCATAAGCACTTGTTTGGCCTCGGTTGATCGAACTCATCCAATCAAGCTTCTGCTGTGTACTGAAGCTTCAAGCACTTGTTTGGCCTCTGTTGATCGAACTCATCCAACCGAGCTTCTACTGCGTACTGAAGCTCCAACCGTAACCTCGATCGGATCGTTCAAGGGAAGCAAACTCGGTGCAAGAACCAAGGGAGGCGTCCTATCACTACCAAAGACCCCACGTTAAATAAGGAGGGCATTCCATCCGCTTCTATTATAATTTTGATTCATTAGTTTATAATAAGCTATTCTTATCAATACAAACGAGATCCCTGTTTCGGGAAATCGAATTTTACATATACATATGCATTGGATACAACATGATATATCCTACTGTAGACCGTAGTCGATTTGTTGTTTGGGCTGCAGCATGAGAGCAATGAAAAGATCTGATTGAACACTAAGAGTGGAGGATTCTCTCAAGCATTTGGTCGAAAAGTTAGTGTGCATTGACGAATAATAAATGATCGAGGGTTAGCTGTGAATTATGTTAGGTAAGGCATAACAGTGGGCTAAGGTCGTGGCTGTGCACAAAACTGAACTTCTCTTGGATATTTCATCAAACAACTCTATTGCCTCCTCAACTAACCGCAATATCGCAAAACCTGCTAATCGTTTTGGTCCAAATAACTATATCCCTTTTGTCATTCCATCAAACACCTTCTACACATCAACCTAGTCATAAAAAAAATCAACCTAGTCATCAACTTATATTATATATATATATATATATATATATATATTATATTATATATATATATAATAGAGAGAGAGGAGAGAGAGAGAGAAGAGTGAGTATGCTTGCGTACCAAAGCATAAAAAGTTATGCTTGTTAGGATGTGACATAAATCCCCTCTACTCATTCAAATGGTTGCAATATCTCCATACACTCCTCAATCCATGTGAATGTGGTCCCCCATTTGAATTACTCGAGGGGATTGTGCCACCTCACTACCAAATAACAAAATTGTGTTTCGGTACCAAACATACCCATATTTCTCATATATAGTATATATATATATATATATATATATATATATATATATATAATATCATATATATATATATATATACATATATATATAGTGCTTATGCACATAACATATCCTGAAGCACAAGATTGACAGGAACCCCTCAATTTATAACATCGAGACATCTTCGACGAGCTATTGCAAAAAACCCAAAATTTCAGAATGTTAACATATAGTATCTATGAATTTCCCATCACAAAACTCAAGCTTTCTCAAATCACAGAAATTATCTCAAATAATAAAAAGAAATCTACTGTACTAAATAGTAAGAATGTCACTTTATTATCTCTAGACAAAATCAATAATAAAAAGAAAAGGATGTTGTAGACATAACTAGCATCAAAATCCATAGAGGTCCTCAAACTCGAAGCAACAGACTGCTTCCATTGGTTGGCTTCGAGCGGGCCGAGTGGCCCAACGCCACCACCATTGCCACAGATCCTTCAACGGAGGAATCTGGCAAAGAGAAGAGCGCGAGTTAGCATCAGACGCTATTGCAAGAGATCAAAAACCCTAGAAATTTTAGTTTTTTTTAGAGAGATGATATATAGAAAGAGGTAAGAGAGAAATTGAGTCCTAGGTAATTATTAGGGAAGAAGAAGAAGAAGGGCAACTTCGGGATTTATCTTTTATTTTTTTTTTGTATATAGTATATAGACATGATGTATTTGATACTTGGGGTTTACAAATAAGTGGGGGTTGTACTTTGGGTGTATAGATCATAATGAAAGTAGGTGAGTTTGAAAATAAGTTGGAATAAAACTTTGGGGTAAAAGACAAAAATCCCATTTTTAAATTGGTTCCCCAAATCTCGATATTTTGAAATCAGTCTCCGAATTCTTTTTAACTATTTTGAAATTATCTCCCAAATCTTTCACCAGCAACAACTAGAAGGATGGAGTTCTTAACATAATTTTCTGGACGGAGTTCTTAACATAATTTTCTCCCGAGTTTTTCCATGTGATACACATAAACTAATTTTAAAAACTTTTAACTTTTAATGTTGGTTGAATTTACTATTAAATATAACATAATTCTATTTTAAATCTATATTTTAAAATATGATTATAATGGTTGTTGCAGTAAGTTCAACAAGCATTAAGGGCTAAGAAGTCCTAATATTAACTTGTTATATTACACAGAAAAGTTGGGAAAAAAATCTCACATATGCACAACGAAAAAATATTAAGAATTAATTACAATCCGGCATCCTAATTAATTTATAATCAAGATTACCTCGTATAGATATGCAAACTCTAAGATCACTCAGTATAATTATTTCATACCTCACAATACCGGTGCATAATTAATCCAAATATTAAAGTACAAAGTTTAGAAACTTCAAAGCATATAAAGTGCTGTAAAAAACAAGTATGAAGTGTATATAATTGCAAAGAAACACCTTCTGGTCCTAACTTGCTTTAAATGTAGTTAGTTTCCCGTCAATTATTTACTAAAATTATAGGAGTGACTCCACCTCTTCCAAATTCCCACAGCCTGGAAATGCTGTTAGGACACACTGTCCCTTTCCTCATTGGGTGCCCTCCCCCTTAAAAAAAAGAAGGACAAATTTTCATAATAGTCTCATTTTGAAAACTAAAAACGATCTCATTTGAAAATAATTATCAAAACCGACCTAGTTTTAGCCGTCGGGCTAAAACTGGGTCGGTTTTGACGAAAAAAACTTTGAAACTTCACGGGATTTGAAGTCCCCTGAAGTTTAGCAACCTAATTAAATGACTAGTAAACTTCACGTGACTTCAAGTCCCGTGAAGTTTCATCAAAATTTTGTCTAAAACTCGATGAAACTTCACGGGATTGGAAGTCCCGTGAAGTTTAACAGCCATTTAATTAAGCTGCTAAACTTCATAGGATTTCAAGTCCCGTGAAGTTTTAAAGTTTTTTTTTGTCAAAATCGACTCAGTTTACTGTTTTGACAATTATTTTCAAATAAGATCGTTTTTTGGGAATTTTTTTGTAAATGAGACTGTTTTGAAAATTTGTAAAAAAAAGAGATCTTGTAATGGGCCCCACCAACTTTAATAATTTAACTCATAATTACTATTTAGCTCGGTGGGATCGAAGAAGGCCACGGAATCCTCGCGATCTCCGCCGTCCATCCTGACCTCCCTCCCCTCTGAGGACCCCCCTTCCCCTCTCTCTTCTCCCCCAGATGCTAGGGTTAGGTTTAGGGTTAGGGTTTGGTCCGTTGCCCTAACCTCCTCTTTAGAAAGGAGAAAAGAGCTAGGGTGTGGGCGGCGGCGGCGGCGGAGGAGGAGCTAGGGTTAAGGATGTCTCGTGCTGGGGGAGTGAGATCTGTGGATGTGAGCTCCAAGGCGCCGGGGGTCTCGGTGGTGACCACGAGCGGGAAGAAGCGGTCGGAGACGGCGTCGACGTCGGCGGCGGTGGGGCCCAAGAGCAAGGAGATCAAGCAGACCACTGCTCAGTCGCCGCAAGGTAAATCTTTGCTTTCCGACTGCAAAATTTTGTGCTTTTCCTGTGGAGTGGGTGGTGAACGGTAGTTCTTGGAGGTAATCTTGGTTATGCAAGCGCAAATTTATGTTCTTTTTTGGTGAATATTGGTTCTTGGGAGAAGTGCATTAGTGTTGGTTGGTTAGTAGCTTTAGATGGTCGCGAAAAATGATAAGTTGTTCGATAACTGGTTCCAAATAGTTTAACTTCCTTTTTTGTTGCTTTTTTTTTGCTTTGGAATGTTAAGACCACCGTGGTAGTCGCTGCAAGGTAAATTTGGTTTCGGAGTGCCTAATTGATGCTTTTGTTGTGAATTTTCGGGAATGAAAAATGGTTCTTGGAAGAAGTTTGTTAGTCTAAGGTGTTGATTGGTTTTGGAATTTTGAATTGCCTAAAAAATAATTAGTAGTGTGATAATTGGTTCCAAGTGACCATTTTGCTTTATTTTTGTTCTTAAAAGGAAACTTTTGGTTCCTGTACGCTGAGTTAAAAGAGCAGTTTGGAATGGGCATTATCTGATTATTCCTGTGTATATAGATGTTTTAGGGGCGACCAACAAAAGTCCAAGTTACATAAATGGCTGTTGGTTTTTGTTTATTTTGATGTACCGTGTAGTCGTGTACGTCATAACTCAAAGTTGATCCAGCCATTATGTAACTTATCTCCATTTTGTAACTCTAGATGGAAGCGTTGCATGGGAGTAGAAGATCAAGGGAGCAAATTCCTTTCTTGAAGGACTTTGACCTATTTCCCTTTGTAATGTTAGTGAGAGAAGGGTAGTTAGTAAGTATGGGTGGAAGTGAACGAAATAATTTGCAAATTGTTCATTAGTTATTCATCTAAATATTTGGTTATATTTGATTCCATATTTCATTTAACAGTAAACAAATATATTTTAGTATTTGGTTCATAAATGAATAAAATTTAACTAGAAGTGTATTCAATTCATTATATTATTAAATATTCAATTATATTTTAATTGTAAAAACTTTGAGGACGAATTTAGAAATACACACAATGTAAAGGGTGTATATGGAAACCCCACAATGAAACACGAATGGATTAAGAGGTAAGATTAAAGTATACACACAATTTTAAAGGGTATACCGCACAATAAAACAAGAAAGGATGCAAGTTACACAATACACACAATTTGGAGGGTGTATATATGGGGGAAAAAAAATTAAACAATAAAAATTAGAAAGCTTGCATCTTACCAAGTGGCCTAACAGATATTCGTGGATATTTATGGAAATCATGATATTTACCTGAATCAAATTCGAACCTGAATTAGAACATTGAGATTCTAGTTGAATTCAAATTAGTCATTATCAGATTTGATCCAATTTATATCTACCCTGAGAAGTAAGTAACAGAGCTTTTAAGTCAGATAGAGGGTCATTTAGTTTTTTTTCCCTTTTAGTTATTATCACATAATTTAGAAGTTATATCTTTCAATAGATCTACTTGTAGTACAGACACTTCTATCATGATACATGTATTCTACATGGAGCTTGTTGTTGTTAGCATCTAACCCCATGCTATTGAACCACACAGATTGCAACACATGAAAACGAAATATAAGATCACAGCCAAAGAATATAGGGATACATCCTCGGCAGAGCAGAATATGCAAATATCCACTACATACTAGTTAAGCAATTACAATATGATCACTGCTGCAGCTTTCCTACTCCCTCTTGGAAACTCTAGAAGATCATTTCTCCAACAAGGCTTCAAAGTTTTCCTCTTTCCTCTTGTTTATTTAGCCTATTTGCCTCCTCCTAACCTGTCTTAGATCTGATTGAAACCCCTACAGCCCCACATATGTAGTATTCCATACGAACTCTAACACAATAGAATCCTACTCACCATAGAACTCTAATTCAAAGCAGACTGGACCCAGATCGGTGGACCTACCAGTCGATGCTTCAGCGTTTGACACTTTGTCGCTTGACTGACGAGTCCATCGAATTTTTGTTCTGGCGGTGGGTGGTCAGAGAACTGTTGTTATTCTGAAAAATCTCTATCACGGAGAATCTCCACTTGTATTATATCCTCGTCTTGAATCTTGTATTGATATTCATTGTTTCCACACTATATATTGTGAAGTGATTGATCTTTTTTCTTTGGGTAATACTCTTGATTGAATTTATCATATTGAAGAATAAAGCCCATTCATTTGTTTGACTCTTTAACTTTTTCTGTTTTATGTCTGAAACATTCCGCCAGTGGATGCTCCTTTTATTTTGTATGCACCTGTTCACATTTAGGACGGAACATGCTTTGATATATACTAATATCTTCTTGATTCTTGTAATTTTCAATCTTAGCTATTATTTGAGATGCAAAATATTGTATTGAATAATTAAATCTTAATAAAGAAATCATTGTTATTATTGAATAATTAAATCTTAATAAACAAATCATTGTCATACTCTTTTAGAATTTTCTTAATATGGATGAGATATTATTATGTTTATTTTGAGATGTTTCTGTAGGTTATCTATCGTTATCTATAAATTGAAATTTGAAGCATCAAAAGCTCTCTTTTATATTTTAGATTATCTCAATTTTCTATTTATTTTCTTTTGTTTTTTATTTTTTAATTTATTTTCAAAAAAATGTTCTTCATGCCTTTTGCTGCTGCAACACCGCTGAAGCCCCTAAAGCCTAAGCTACACTATCGCCTTGCTCAGCTGTTCGCTTTCCACAACATTGTCAGTAGACACCCTATGTTTTCTGAATTTGAGGCTGCCAAACTCTATTCAATTTTCTTTATTTTGACAGGATTATGTGAGCTTTCTATGTTTGGAGTCTTTGGACTGTTGTCTATTGTTGGCAACCTTGTATGAAAATTGCATATACACACAGCATATACATCTAATGATACTTTTGGTCTTTAGTATTTAGTGTAAGCTGCAATCATTTGTGTTATTCTTGCAATGATATACCTGTATTCTCGTGTTTGCAATTTGGTTTTCAGTCATCTGTTAGCTTTGGTTTACTATTTTATTTTTGATCAAGCAATTTTTTAAACCTTTTAATTAACTTGCAATCTTATCTCTAATTAACTGTGAAACTTTTAGTTATCCAGATCAAAATGTCCACTCTAGCACCTGCTACATGCTGCGTTGATCTTGTTTGCAGCAATGCGGCTGCTGCCTGCTGTTTTCAACACCTAGCTTCATAGTGGTTATGGAGTACAACATTAAAGTCTATAAGTAAACAAATGTTTGACATGCATACTCTTTTCTTTTTAATTTTCACAGAATTTTCTTTGTTGGTTCCACAATCATGGAAAGCCTATTGTATGGATGTTGGCTGAAGATAACCTAGAGAACTTAGACTAAGTTAATAGGAAACTTTTCATTATGGGGCACCTGTCATGTGAATCTAAGATGGTAATTTGTTGGCTCTTCAAGTGTTAGTGGTATCTAGCAAGTTTCTGTTATTAATAATGAAAATATTCTAGACTTTCTGATTCATGGAAACGAGTGTCTTCTCATTTAAGCGTGCTTCTAACTTGATTTTATCTACAATTTTGCATTTATTCAGATATCTCTGATACTGGGAGCGAGGAAACAGATCTGAGCACTTCTGATGGAGATGATTCATCATGGATTTCTTGGTTTTGTGGGTTGAGAGGAAATGAGCTCTTCTGTGAAGTTGATGAGGACTACATACAAGATGACTTCAATTTATGCGGACTTCAGGGACAAGTTCCCTTTTATGATTATGCCCTGGACATGATATTGGACAATGATTCATTGAGTGGTGATTCCAAAACTATTCCTCCCCTAACTCATTTGCGCATATTTATCTCTGTAGAGCTATGCCTGGTTGAATTCTTATGCATTTAGCTTGTTGGCTTTCTTATAATTGCGCACTATGTGTAACCTTACTTCTTTATTTGCTCTGATGAGATATAATTTAGCTTGTTGACTTTCTTATAATTGCGCACTATGTGTAACCTTACTTCTTTATTTGCTCTGATGAGATATATGAGTTAACAACTATATTGTCCAGAGAATCTTGTTTTATTTCTTTTTTAATCTTAGTAATAAAATATTTTTAATCCAATGTTTATGTAGGTGAGGTTGACGGTAACGAACAAAATGAAATTGAGTCTGCGGCAGAGATACTGTACGGTCTTATACATGCACGCTATATTGTAACTACCAAAGGATTAAATGCAATGGTAAACTTTGTTCCTAATGTTTTCTTAAGCACTATTTACACTTTTTGGAGTTTATAATACTTCCTTTTGGCTACTGCTTTAGCATGAGAAGTACAAGAGAGCAGATTTTGGACGCTGCCCTCGAGTTTTCTGTGGGGGACAGCCATGTTTGCCAGTCGGCATGTCAGATATGCCCCGCAATGGTTCTGTGAAGATCTACTGCCCCAAATGTGAAGATATTTATTTCCCTAGATGCAAATATCAGAGCAGTATCCTTTCATTCATTATACTTGGACCTTTCTAGAATTATTTTGATTTCTATACATCTAAATGTACTAGCGGCTAACATGATTTAGTAGGTTTTCCCCCCTGAACATGAATACATGAATTAGTTGTGGTTCGTTGTTCATGCTAAATATGAACTTAGCGATATCTACTTGTTTAGGTCATAAGAAACATGTTTATATGAGAATAAAATGGGCTAGTTTTTCATATATGAAGTACACATCTTTTAGTTATTGATACAATATTTTTTGTTTTTTCTTTTACCAAGTTTCTCTTATACATGGGCGCATATCTGAGTGAATTATTTTTTATTGAGTATGGCTCTTATGAAGAGCATAATTACTGGAAACACCATATAGATGTGAGAAAGGAAAGGATTATGCACTTAGGATGGTAATTGTGATTTGCTCATGTGAAATACAAGCATATTGATACCTACTTGTTTAGGGCGTGACAAACATGTTTATATGAAATGAAAATAGGTTGTTTATCACATGTGAGGTGCACGTCAGCATGTCTGTTAGTTCTAGATAGCTCTTGATACGACATTTATGTTTTTCCTTTTTTTTAACTAAGTTTTCTACAACATGGATACGTTTTGTTCTATGTAAACTATTTTCATTGAGTATGGCTCTTATGAAGAGCAAAATTACTCGAAGCACCATATAGATGTGAAAGGATTATGCATTTCGGATGAAATTATGTAAGCATGTAGTTAATATCATCTGAATAATTTACTTATGGTGTATACACGACTATATGCTTTTGGTGTCAGCCTTCTTTGTTTTGAAAGAAGTTGTGAAGCTTTTGACTTTGTTCTCTTCTTGTACACGGTCATGCATTTCAAAGTCTTGTTTAGGTTACCACTATGGGGCATGCTATGCGTTGGAATTGCATGACCTGAATTCAGAGGGGTAACATTCTGTTACAAAAGTACCCATCTTGATTTATTTATTTTAGATAGTTTTCATATTTCATGATGACCTCCTAGAAATTTATACTGACCCATTTTGGTTGCCTGGAAAAATTAATACTTCAATCCCTTTTCGTTTAAGTTCCACAAGGACAACTAGTATAAAACATCCTAGTTACAAACTCAGATAGGTTAGCTGATAATGAGACTGTCCTTAGTGAGCATAAATCTGCGTTTTATCTAGATCTTGTTCCTTTTACTCTTCCCCTTCTACAAACCAAGGTTACCTAAAACATTCTATCCTTTCTACTTTTCTTGCCTGAACTCCAGTTCTTGTTGCTTAGGAGTTCAAATCCATTTGTTGTTTGCCTCAATTCTTCCCCAAAACCTAGTTACTTCAACCTAATTCCCCTTATTTTCTATATTCGTATATGCCATATTTGAATTCCAATATAAAGATTTCCAAACTCTACGTGGGCGTTCAAATCCATTTGTTATTTCCCTCGTTTCTTTGCCAAAACCTTGTTTTTTCAAACTGATTCCTCTTATTTTCTATTTTCCTTTATGCGATATCTGAATTCCAATATAAACTTTCCAAATTATACTTGGTAAGCATACACAACTTACCCTACTTCTTTATGAATCCTCGCTGGAGTCATTTTCTCCCTTTGATCCTTTCTTTCTTTTCCATACCTAAGTTACTAATGAAATGATGATGACCAATAGATGATGACCAATACACGACTTACCCTTTGGTAAGCACACAAGAAGGATTAGTTGTGGAGTAAGGGTTACATGGGAAATAAAAGTTAAGCACTTGATGCTTGGCTGCCTAGATTCATTTCTCAGGGGAGGAAAAGAATATTTCAGGTTATATGATATAAGATGGCAATAACTTTACCAGATATTCCCTATCCATGACAACTGGCAGTTGCTCCATAGTTGCACGAGATAAACTGTCTTTCAAAGTTCTAAGACTAGGTCTTGACTTCCATAGTTGACTTAGCTATTCTTGGTCAGTTATTAATAACTTATTATATGAAATGTCCATGCTTACATACCATGTCTTATAGCTGATCCAAACATTAAAATATAAGATGAAGAGGATAACAATTGGCACTCATTACATCCTTCTTGTGTATCTCGCGCCCCCTACCCCCAACACCTCCCCTCCCACCTTTTCTTGTGGCAGATTAATCTACACGGTCAGGCCACTAGTACTTCATTATTCTTTTCCCGTGTAAGTCCTCCATGTTCAGTCTTTCATTGTAATTCCTATGTATTTATTATAGCTTTTAACCTTTTTAAACTTTCTTTGCCACTAAAACATTTAGACGCATAGGAACATTGGAGCCTATTTGATAGTAGGTCGTGTTTGGGTCCCTAGGCCCCCTAACAACGGCCATTTGGCGTTTTCGTATAACCCTAAATCTCTATTTTATTTAAAATAATTCACAAACTTCTCTTTAAGTTACTTGAAAAAAACTGTACTTTATGGTGTGAGTGTAAAAAGACATGGAATATTCTTTTAACCACCATTTTAGACTATTTTTAAACTTTTTACAATTTGATAACTACTCTTCGTTTTCTTCTCTGTAAGCCTTTTTAATATATTGGACAAGCAGGTTGTGTTGTTGAATTAGTTCCTGCTGGAGAAGAAATGTCATAGACCATGGCAAAACCTTTTATTTTTGTGTTCATTACTTAATGTCTTGATTTCTATTATTGCATGAAAGCGACAGTATCTGTTTCTTCTTTAACGGTTTATTCAGATGTGGATGGCTCTTATATCGGCACGACATTCCCTCATCTGTACATGATGACTTATCCTTCAGCAAAACCAGCAAAGCCAGCTCAAAGTTATGTACCTAGGGTGTTTGGCTTTAAATTGCACAAGGGTACTCGATGATAACCCCCCTATTCATGCTGTACTATTTTTACAGGACAATAAGGGTTTCCCTTTGCGGGTCTGATTAGTGATTCTTTTCGCCCAGGAGATAAAAGTGCTGCCAACTGATGGATGGCTGTATCCTCTCATAAGCTCAAGGCGTCGAAGTATGGACACCTTAGTAGAATTCTGAAAATCACTGCCAAGAACAATTTTGTGTGTAGTAATACTGGTTTAGTTAGCGTCGACGTTTATTGTATTTGGTGGGTGTGTAGTAATACTGTTGATCCAGTTAACATCTATAAGTAGTTTGGCAAACTAATTGGCAACATTTAGTTCTCATGTCCAACATAATGCACCATACATCTGGGTGCCTTGTGGTTGCTTGGCTTGCCTTGAGAATGAAGTGGCCAGGGGTTTTATCTGCAACAATGAAACTAGAGGGGTGGTAAGCTCAAAACAATGATGCTACAGTGCTTATTTGCGACTGACCTATTTTTTTTATTGAGATTAATTCAACCTGGACGCATCAACTAAATGTACACAGGGAGTAAAGCGTTGGCTGGGAAATTGTGACATTTTGATGAAGATAATGGTTCCAACTTCCAACAGTTGCGTTCAAATTGTCTGCATATAGGTGCTGATTTATTTTGAACAATAAAGTAGATTTCACTAGTTCAAAAGAAAGATCGAATTGAACAACGATATAAAAGTATGGGAAATTTTGGATGTTGATGTTAGTCTTCATTGTTTCATGGTATTATGATATAAGTTTTATACGAGCGTGCCGCAAATCACTTCTCTGAGGTGCACCGTATGCTGTTTATCCTTTTTTCTCCTGAAAAGTGAACTTGAAGTTGAACAATAGTCCCGGTCAAAATAAACCATATTAAATCCAATATTTGGCTTCAATTAGTAAGCTATAATCATTGCATTGATTTAGAACGCAGGGTTGTTCTACCATTTGCTGTATAGGATGCTAAATGCCAGTGGCTGATTATACTCCCTTCGCCTGCCTGGTCACGAACCTAGAAATTAGCAATCCATGATAATGAAATATTTGTATTTCACTATATGATAAATATATACAGTCTATGTTAACCCTCTTACATACAAAAAGAATTTCTTGACCCCATTAGGTCAACCAATAATACAACATACGTCACAAGTATATATAGACCCTACAATGTCGATGTGGCATCCGATAACTGGATTGTTTGATCATCTATAAGAGTCACATAGGGGCTTCCAGATTCATTCACATCAACCAAAACAGTATCACCAGGCTTGAACTCTCCTGAGAGAATTGCTTCACTTATTACATCTTCAATAAGCTGGGTAACTGCTCTTCTTAATGGCCTGGCACCATAACTCCTATCAAAACCCTGTTGACACACCATATCCATGATCTTGTTCGATACTTGAAGGCCGATTCCAAGGGACATGAGCCTCCCCTTAACCTCTTGCAACATTATGTTCAGAATCTCCATCATCTGAAACACAAAAGTGAAGATAGCATAAGATAAGGTGACACGCATTATTGAAAATGAAACTTTTCTCGTGTATTTGCTTGGAAAATAGCCAATAGAGGGCCCTCCCTAAAAAATCATATAGTGAAATCGGGATTGTAAGCATCTAGCCTAGTATGAACCATGATGCAAGCATCACTATTAGCTATCATTGTGGTGAGACAACCTATCAACAGTTTGCACTGATGACTGCATTAATATTTAATAGCAAGATGCGTGCATCAAGGCTCATGCTAGGCCATACACTTGCATTAATATTTAATAGCAGATGTGTGCATCAAGGTTCATGCTAGGTCATGCACCTTTATCCCAAAATCCCCCTATATAACTTTCTATAGTGTATCCTCTATTAGATCTTTTTTTGAACTGTTCCTATTTGTGTAACGAACCTGTGTTTTCTCAAGAGCACGGAACACAACCACCTCGTCTATCCTATTGAGTAGCTCAGGGCGAAAATATGCCTTCAACTCTTCCATTACAAGTGCTTTCATTGCAGCATATGAGCTTGATTCCTTATCATTGTCGAGCATGAAACCTATGCCGCGCCTGCCCTTAGAAATTGCACTGGAGCCCACATTTGATGTCATGACAACCAATGTATTTTTGAATGAAACTCTTCGCCCCTGTTCAACCACAAATTTAGATTCTACAGACAAAAGAAACCATCTTCAACTTGTAACTGGAGTTGTTGGATAATAAAGCACAATACATGATCAGTAGAACCATCGTATACAAGTTTGCATTATTTTGACATTTAAGTGAAATGATTTAAGTGTATCAATTTAACATTTGAAAGTTTATTATCAAATTATAAAACAATTTAGCTAGAAAATATATAATTTTGCATTATTTTGACTCGAGTTTCTTCCTATCCCATCATATCAACTTTGTACTTGTTAAAGGGCACAGTGAAAGTCTAGTACAATCTGGATAAATGTGTATTTGTGCACTTGGGGAAGGTTTAGCAAATAACAAATTTGCCCTCAGAAGAAAAGCATGAAGCAAAGGAATGTCCATCATTCATCCATTTTCGGAATTGCCCTCAATTGGTCTTTTATAACTTTGTATAGACAGGAAGAGTAGCACAAAGAAGCATACTTCGAGTGTCTAAGCATGCAGTTGTAATGAGGAAAAGGTGATAGAGAAACAAATTTAAATATTAAAAGCTGCATGTATGATGACAATGGAGAGACCTCGATAATTATCTGGCTTGGATTTGCATTGTGTAAAAGAAGACAGGATGAAACTAATGTTGACGCATCAAGAAGATTTACAAAGTCCTGTTATGCCAGAAGATGTTTTGCCTCAAGAGAATTGATTGGTGAAGGCGACAAGGCTTGAAGGATAGGTTGTGGAATCACATGTTTCCATTAAAAATTTAGACTTGGATAAAACTTATAACTTGCACCAATAAGCTGGCACGAGCCCGTACAAAGTAAAGTTTTGACTTATAAACTAGCATGTTATAGACAAGAAGATCCCTAAAGGATAGAAACTAAGGGGCCTATGTGCTTGATTACTATTTAATCAGTTTCCTTGCTAGATTCATATTTTTTTAGTTATTTTATGAAGAATGTGGGTGAGTAAGATAGATACAATACACATCTAATTGGATGGCTCTTGGATTTGCATTTTTAAGCCCAACAGACAATTAATTTGCATTTTAAAGCTTAGTAGTATAATGTGACCTACTAGACCATTAACCACTCATAGGTGCTCGACAAAAGACCTCACCAAGCATAAACAAGATCAAAACCCTCCATTTTCCCGTGTGTGAGGGGGTGGGGGAATACAACCTCTTCTCTTCCAACCAAAAACTCGCTACAGAAACTCGTCTTAGACCCCAAGATTTCAACTAAAGCTTCTGCTTCCACAGAACCATTTCATCACCGAGTTCCCTATTATTACAAGGGGAAAGACAAGCGGAGAAGACGAAGGTGGAGGGCAAGTCAGAGAGAGACTGCGGAATGCTATCGACGCACGACCTATTAGACCATTAACCACTCATAAGTGCTTGACAAAAGACCTCACCAAGCATAGACAAGATCAAAACCCTCCAATTGTTTGTCGGGGTTGGGGGTTGGGGGTTGGGGTTGGGGTGGGGGTGGGGGTGAAATACAACCTTTTCTCTTCCAAACAAAAACTCACTACAGAAACCTTTTCTCTTCCAACCAAAAACTCACTACAGAAACTCGTCTCCAACCCCAGTATTTCAACTAAAGCTTCTGCTTCCACAGAACCATTTCATCACCAAGTTCCCTATTATTACAAGGAGAAAGACAAGCGGGGAGAAGACGAAGGTGGAGGGAAAGTCAGAGAGAGACCGCGGGATACTATCGACGCACAACACAGTGGTGGGGACTGGAGGAAATAAGAAATCTTGGGGATTAAAAACTTCAAAAATAAGTTTACTGCATAGAAGTTCTATATGGAAAACAATTAGGGCATGCGTACTTAAAATTTTTGATTTCCGTGGGCTATAATCCATAATTTCTATCCATTGTTTATCATTTTGACCAAATGATAATTAAACATGCGTAGTTCAATATTTGCGATTTTCATAGGCTATAACCCATGATTTTTATCCATTTTCATTTGTTTGACTCAATGATAATTAAATTTGCGTATTTCAAAATTCAGGATTGTTACATGCTGTACAATATTTATTAAATTTTTTCTTTTTGCTCTAATGACAATTTAGAATGCATACATTAAAATTCGTAATTTTTATGAGCTATAGCACACAAATTAAGAATGCATACTTCAAAACTCTGTGATTTTTTTTGGTTTATAAATTATAATCCATGATTTTGTCTACATTGTTCGTTTCAACCTAATGACAATTACCTAATGATGATTAAGTATGCATACTTCAAAATTTATGATTGTTTATGAACTATAATCCATGAATTTTGTTAAGTTTTTGTTCGTTTTGACTTGATGGCAATTAACTACACATAGTTCAAAATTCGCAATTTTGTGAGCTATAACCCGCTATTTTGCCATTTTCAATTGTTTTGGCCGAATAACAATTAAGTATGTGTATTTCGAAATTCATGACTTTTATGAGCTATAATCCATGACTTCTATCAATTTTCGTTCGTTTCAACCCACCGATAACTAATGCAAGTAGTTTAAAATTTCGCAATATTTATGAGCAATTACACATTTTTTGGTTTATTTTTATTCATTTCGTTCCATTTAAGTATAAGTTCTTCAAAATTTGCGTTTTCTAGAGGCTATAACCCACAATTTTGCTCATTTGCATTTTTTACGACTAGTGACAATTAATTAGAAGTACTTACAATTCGGGATATTCATGGACTATGACTCACAATTTTTGTCAATGTATTATGTTTCCACTCTATGACATTTAAGTATTTGTATTTTGTACTTCAAAATTTCACAATTTTATAAGGTATAACCTAATATTTTTGTTTATTTTCATTAATTTCAACCCCATTACAATAAAGTATGAGTGCTTTAAACTTTAAAATTTAAAATTTTCTTGTTATTAACCATGATTTTCGTTCATTTTTTCGTTTCTCTCTAGTGGCAGTTAAGTATGCATACTTTAAAATTCGTGTTTTTCGTGGACTATGATCCACCAGTTTGTTCATTTTTCGTTTGTTTTGACTTATTGACAACTAAGTACATGAACTTCAAAATTTGCTATTTCATGATGCCTACGTCGAATATTGCGATTTTCATGGGTTATATAACCTATAATTTTTGTTCATTTTCAGTTCATTCAATGAAAATTATGTATGATTGCTTTCTAATTCACAATTTTCACATGTTATAACCTACATATTTTGTCCATTTTCATTTATTTTAAATGACGACTAAGAACGTCTACTTCAAAAAAAATTTAAATGACGACTAAGAACGTCTACATCAAAATTTTGATTTTCATGAGCTAAAAGCACAATATTTGTCTATTTTCGTTTGCTTCAAGCAATTAAGTTTGCATGCTTCAAAATTAGATATTTTCATGGGCTGTATTACATGATTTTTCTCAATTTTTGTCAGATTGGATTAAATGATAATTAAGTATGCATATTTTAAAATCACAAATTTCATCCAGTTTTATTCATCACAGCCTAATTGCAATTAAATATGGATGCTTTAAAACTTGTGATCTTCATAGGATATAACCAATGGTTTCTTCCAAATTCATTAATTTGATCTAACAATAATTAAGTACGCATATTTCAAAATTTATGATCTCATGGGTTATATAACTCATAATTTTTGTCCACCTGAACTTGCAATTCGACCACTAACAATTAAGTATGCATCTTAAGAATTCGTTATTTCATAAGATGTAACCCACAATTTTATCTAGTTTCGATCACTTTTGAGCCAATAACAATCAAATAGGCCATTCAAAAGTCGCAATTTCATTGACTCTAAGTCATATTTTTTGCCCATTTACGTTAGTTTTGACAAATGACATTTTAAGTACACGTTTCAAAATTCATAATTTTCATGGGTTATATAACACATTTTTTGTTCAATTTCAATCGTTTGGACTTAATAATTAAATATGCATACTTCCAATTCATTGTTTCGTGAACTATAATCCATTATTTTTGTCCAGTCATTCATTTTCAATCCAATAACAATTAAATATATATCCTTCAAAAGTCGCAATTTCATGGGCTCTGTGCTATGATTTTTTTTCCATATATGTTTATTTCAACCTAATGATATCTAAGTAAGTGAATTTCAAAAAATTTGATTTCATGGGCTATAACCAATGACTTCTATTCATTTTCGTGCGTATCTATCCAATTAAGTATGCGTGCTTCAATATTCACAAATTTCATATCTTATAGCCCATGATTTTTGTCCATTTTTCCGTTCATTTCGACTTAATGCCAATTAAGTATGCATAATTCAAACTTTCGTGATTTTCACGGACTAACCCAATTTTTTTTCAATTTTAGTTTGTTTCGACCGTCTACCAGTCAAATATTGTTACTTTAATATTTGCGATTTTCATTGATTTTAACCTACAATTTTTATTTATTTTCATTTAATTCAACCAAATGCCAATTAAGTACGAGAAATTAAAAGTTTAGGATTTTAATGGGCGATTAACCCACAATTTTTATCAATTTTTGTTCCTTTTGACGCAATGTAAATTAAGTACAATAGTTCAAAATTTGCGATTTCACAGGTTATAACCCACAATGTTTGCTATTTCTGTATTTTAGTTCGTTCCACCTAACGAAAATTAAGTGCGTACTTTAAACTATGCAATATTTTTTAATCATTTCCTGCCATTTTGACTATGTGACAATTAATTATATGTACTTTAAAATTCACGGTTTAATGTGCTCTAGCCTAAAATATGTTCCTTTTCATTCTTTTCAACCCCACGGTAATTAAGAGTTAATAAAATTTGCAAAATTCAAATGTTATATTATAACCATAATTTTTGTCAATTTTCATTCATTTCGACCCAGTGACAATTAAGTGTACATAGTTCAAAGTTCGTGATTTCGTGTGGTATAACCCACAACATTTATTCATTTTTGTTTTTTCGACCAACGGCAATTAAGTAAACGTATCTAAAAATTCACTATTTTCAAAGGCTATGCCCATGATTTTTGTCCATTTTCGTTCGCTTTGATCTAATGACAATTAATTGTACGTATGCTAAATAGCCCTTGAATGGCTAGATGGATAGGCCATGGAATCGCATGTTTCGATTAAAACTTAGATTTGAAATAAACTTATAACTTGCATCCATAAGGGGGCTTGAGTCAGTACAAAGTAAAGTTTGACATAGAAGATAACATGTCATGGACAATATGATCCCTATATGTTCAATACCAGTTTGAGCAAGGCAGATGATAGTAGTACAGTTGCATGTCTAGCACAAGCAAACCTTGAGTAGTATACTTCATCTGTTTTAACTTGGAACATCTACAGTGAAAAATGCTGCTATATTGAACATTGAGTTATATAAGTCTTAATAGATATTGGGATGAATTGTTTTCTTTTTTCTTTCTTTCTTTTTACTGGAAAGATGATTGCTGTAATTTTCATTTTATTCAGTGCCTTTGCAGATGTTGGAAAACGGATGCATCATGGATTTTTCTTGACGCATATAAATTGGGACAACTATTTAGGACTGGGATCAGACTCTATGTTAATTGACAAGTTTGCATCTTCGCTGAAAACATTTTCAGCAACTTAAAATGTCGATCCATAAAGATGCCAACCAAAAGTCTACTTTAATTTCTTTAGCAGAAAATAAATAAATAAATAAACTGACCTGAGAATCAGTGAGATGTCCATCTTCAAATATTTGGAGTAAGATATTAAAAATATCAGGATGAGCTTTCTCTATTTCATCGAGTAAAATCACTGTGAATGGTTTTCTCCTGACTGCTTCTGTTAATGTACCGCCCTCTCCATAGCCTACATACCCTGGAGGAGATCCTATTAACTTGCTCACAGTATGACGCTCCATATATTCACTCATATCCAGACGTAGCATGGCAGCTTCCTGTGATATAAACATCACAAAGCTAGCATTAGATTTAGTTTTTGTTTATATTCATTAAGTCAAAGAATTGCTTAATGTATGAATCTCTAATATGAGAGCAAAGGAGATGTAGCACTGGGTTAAATTTGAAGCATGCTTAACATCATTGTTTCTACATAAAGTGTGAGCATATAGTTATTATCATAAGTGTTTGCAACTATGTGTGTTGTGGGGAGGGAGGGAGTACCGATCCAAAATAGGTTGCTGCCAGTGCTTTTGTAAGCTCAGTTTTACCAACTCCGGTAGGACCACAGAAAAGCATTGCAGCGATAGGCCTGCCAGGATCCTTCAGTCCAACACGCGATCTTTTTACCGCTCGAGAAATGGCATTGACGGCCTCATCTTGGCCAATGACGCGTTTATGAAGTTCCTCTTCCAAACTAACGAGGAGTTTTGTTTCATCTGCTGTTAGCTGCTGGACTGGGATCCCCGACCAAAGCGAAGCAACAGTTGCAATTTCTTCTGGCCCAACAACAACAGGTCTGCAAAGGAGCAGAGATTAGCAAATTCAAGAAAAAAGCAGCAAGAAAATGATATCACTAGATTTTAGAATGTGAGGATCAGATTTCATACTCATCATCATCTGGCACTGAAGACCCAGACGATTGTGAGGGTGTGGTAACGTCATCCATTGCTTCAACGTCACTAAAACCTTCCACACTGCTGTGACCTGGAGAATACTTCAGCTTATTCGCCAGTACCTAATTATGGAAGACAACCCTTGAAATTACTTAATAAGAAGATCTGACTAGCTGTCCAAAGATAATTAATAATAAGAAATTACCACTTCGTGCATCGCCTGGACAGCTCTGATCTCTTGCCAGTATTCATCTGGTGATTTTGAGAGGACTGAGGTCTGTTGTTCCTTTTTCTTCTTAAATGCATCCATACGAGCTCTGCTACCAGCTTCATCAATCAAATCTATAGCTTTATCAGGAAGATGTCTATCAGCAATGTATCTTGCTGAGAGGTAAACCGCAGCATTTAGGGCCTCTAATGTGAATCTGCACTTATGATAAGCTTCATATCTGTCCTGTAGGCCCATCAAAATCTTCATGGCATCATCCTGTAAGGAGTAAATAAAAGAAACTAATGACTCATGATTTGCAAACCGAAGATATTCGATAGGTTGTACAATTAAAAAAAAATAAAAAACTACCTGGCTCGGTTCATCTATAATTACGGGTTGGAAGCGACGAGCTAATGCTTTGTCTTTCTCAAAATGTGCTCTGTGCTCGTCTAAAGTTGTAGATGCAATGCACTGCAATGGTGATAGATTCAACATAAGACATAAACCAGATACAAATAGGTGATCAGCTGATTAATATGAATGATAGAGGGACAAAGCAGTTAGAAAAGGAGGAAACAAATGAAAAAAAAACAATCATCTTGCAAAAACCGCTGACACCTAAGCTTTAGACATGATATGAGGATGCTATATAACCAAAACATAAGAATTAAAGAATTACCTGCAATACACCTCTACCAAGGGCTGGCTTCAATAAGTTAGAGATATCAAGACCGGATCCCTTGTTTCCCCTTCCAACTGTGCCAGATCCAATAAGAGTGTGAACTTCATCGATAAAGAGAATAACATCACCTGCATTTTCCCCTAACAAGTTAGAACTAGCAAGAAAGTGATGCTATACTGACAAAACTTGAAAAGCATTCAGGCAGCTACCTGCTTTACGGACTTCACTAATTAATCCAGTGACTCGTGCTTCCAATTCTCCTCTCTCCTTTGCACCAGCCATTAGCAAACCTACATCGAGTGCCATTATACGTTTTGCCTGCATAAAGATAGTCATAAAGAGGTTCAGTTACTCTTAGGATAGTAAATACCGATGATATATACTATCAGTATGAGAACACAAATGCAGCATGATACATACAACAAGAAAGATGGGAATATCTCCATTGGCAATACGAAGAGCCAATCCTTCCGCAATTGCTGTTTTCCCAACTCCCGGTTCTCCCAAAAGAATAGGGTTATTCTTGGTTCTTCGGCATAGAATCTGAACAATTCTCTGAATCTCTGTATCCCGTCCAATTATGGGATCAATGAGTCCTTCAATAGCTCGAGCAGTTAAGTCCACACAGAATTGAGCCAAAATGCTTTTATCTGTAAACAGATTGACATAATTGAAGTATCAATCTGCACAATGCTTTAAAAGAAAATTCAGATTTGACATATCGAACATACCCTTCGGCTTTTCTGGAGATTTTACAAGGGCAGCCTTTCCAGTAAGAGACTTCTCTCGCATCTTTTGGGATATCTTTGATGAATCTCTACCATCCTTTGCAAGCTCTCCTTGAAGTCTAGAGAGCGCTATTGTTGCTAGGAAATTGATATCGGCTCCCAAGCTACAGTCGCATCCACCAGTTAGTTCTATTGATAAACTAGATAAAACTACGAAATCTAAAACCATCACAGAGATTTTTTTTTTCAAACTACACATTTAAACTCCAAACCTGTATTTATCCATTTCTATGAATTTTTCTTACTACAGGAGTATCTGGGGGTTGCTCCTCGATGATTCAAGCTTAAACTACATCAAAAAAATTCATAAGTTTCTCACTCGCAAACTAGCTGCCTATGCTTTATGGCTCCACCCTTTCATTAGATTTGACATGTAAAATTTTGCTAAATTTAATGCACAATCTTGCCTCAATGACCAAACCTAGACTAAAGTTTTAAATCATGACAATTTTAAAAGGGAAAGAACCAAAACTATCCTCTTAATCTAGATGACTATATAGATGAAATCACAGAAATGTCCATATAAACAACATCCCCAAGTCATCGGACTCTTCTTCAACAGATAATGCACGTTGTTTCCATTCTGGAGGTGTGGTTTTGCAGCATATTTGTCCTTCCACAAGCGATTCATGTTATCATCAATAAGGTATTTCCATGATCTAGTAAACAAGGCATAGTAAGATAATATCTTTCCAACTACAATGATCTTAAGCCAATATCTTTCTAACTACAATCACATTCTTGAATTTTTGCACTTCAACCAACACTCGTATCAATCAATTAAAAAAAAATATAAAAAAGATATCCAAAACTCTTAAGCCCATCAATAACACTGCCCACCACGAGCATGATGATTATAATACACATTTCAAAACATTCAATTTTTTTTTAAATTTTTACACTTCAACAACAACTCAATCAATCAAACAAAGTCCAAAAATTCTACAAACAATGCATGGTGTAATCCATCATCAACGCATGCTTTTGCAGCATATCTTTTCTTCTACAAGCAATTCATGTTATCACCAATAAGATAGTTCCATGATTCAGTAAACAAGGACAACTAACACAATATCTGCCAATCAATCATGAGCATGATAATAATGTACTATACATTTCATAACATTAAAAGTCTATTGAATCATTTCATTTCAGCAACCATTCAAATCATCAAGAAGGGGTGGGGGGGGGGGGATATATTTCTACCTTTTGAGAACCTGCAGCACTCCCATCGGTCCACCGTGAACAGCCAATCGCAATATCTCCGGCGCAATGAAATTACTACCCATATCCTCGAAAACTCCAGCCGCCGCCTCAAAACCCGCTTACTACTGATCGAAGAACGGCACATCCGGCGACCGCCTCGCGGCCCCGCTCCACGCTCCCCTCCTCCCCCTTCCTCCTTCAAATCCCTTCCGCCTCCCTAGGCTCTCTCGAATAGTAATCCCCCGACCGAGAAAACCCATCCTTCGACCGATCCTCAGCCACGAGCCCCCAGCAGGCAAGTGCTGAGTAAACCATGTCTTCACCCAGCGCCCTCGCCTCCCCTGAAAAGACAGGCTTGATCGCCCGCTCGGTAACCCGCTCGGAAGACGCGAGACAGTCAGGGTTAGGCCTCCCCTCTTCTCCTGCGCCTACTTGTTAGCAGGTTTTTAGCTAAGATAGAAGGAGAGAGGTTTGAGTAGGGGCGGGTGGAGGACCAGCGCCGGCCCCGGTGGCCGGAGCACGGCGAGTTGAATTCGCGCGGCGGAGACCGGGAGAAGGAGAGTTCTTGGGCCTCATAGGGTTAGGATCGCGGGCGACGATCGACGGCGGCGACGGCGAGCAAAGCTCCATCATTTTGGATAGAGATTGACTGAATTTAAGCTGGATTTGAAGTGTTTCGATGACAATGAAGATTGAAGAAATAGGAGAGGGAGGATTCATAGTCGGAGTAATTAAGAGAGAATATCTTCGGGTCGGGGGTTTTTTGGCTTTATTGGCGGGCGATTTTTTTTTTTTTTTTTGAGTGGGAAGGAAAAACGAAGCAAGGAAGGATTCGAGTTTTGGAGATGGGAGTTCAGTTATTTGGAGTACGTACGCCACGCTGGCGCTTGATTTTGACACGTGTCGGATCCGTAGTTAGCGGATTTGCGGAGATCGTGGGACCAGCCGACACGGTGGAGGCTAACCGAGATTGACGGAACTGTAGGGGTGTTATTTGCACTTAAATACCCCCCAAAAAGCAAAAGGTTACTTGAATACCTCATTTCAATCCAAAAAAAAAAAAAAAAAAATTCAGAGTTCAATAAAAATTTAAGTTCGAATTTTTGTATAATTTCAAGTAATGTTGAGAATACCAATTGTAATTACCAATAGCGTATTGTAAAATCTGACGATAGGTTAACACTATTTGTTTCTTGTCCGATTTTGAAGTTTTCTCGTATGATGGTGGTTAGCATTTATATTAGGTTTAGAGTTCTGGTTAGGATTAGAGGATAGGGATTAGGATTGGGATCATAATTAGGATTGGGATTAGGGTTAACATTATAACAAAGTAAATTGGTAAAATTTCATTAATATTCATCATAGTAGTAACTGTAGGCTTGACCATGCATGATCCTAATTATGATCATGGATTCTAAGGTCACTCATGTAATCACAATTAGTAATCTAAGTGTGTGATTGGCAACCACATCGAAATTGGGTCAGGACTAGCACTAATCCTGTAAAAAAAAAACGCGTTCATAGACCAAATTTGGCCTTAGAAAAACTGGACCAATCTTAACCCAGTTTTACCCAAACATGTTTTCTTCTCAAAATGTGGTCAGATTTCAACCCGACCCATGTTGAAGAGTTGCCCAAGTGACCCCAAGAATCACCTGAGCAGACGCACAGATTGAAGAATTATTCGTGTAATTACACTATACCTTAGAACAACGGAATGCCATACCCTAAACAATAAGAAAAAAAAAATTGAGTTTGATACCCTAATTAACTTCAACAAAAACTTTTTTTTTTGGTAAGGATTATATAATGTAAACACTTGGAACACCTTTCAAAACCAGTGCAAACAAGTTTGAACAAGGAAAAGAGGCGGCAAAATTACAAAAAACGTTGGGTGATGCGGGCACGGAAGAGAGAGTCGTGCGTGGTGGAGTGAGGGGAGGGGCAACGAAAACGTGCACACTCGGCTTCCCTTGCTAACTACTTTTCTTCTGATCTCGACTTCACCTCTAGAAAATAGTATATAATATAGGCCAGATGAGGAGCACGTGTTGCTTTCACTCACGTGCCATGCTATCAACCAATTGTGTTTGGAAATTAATTGCCCCAAAAAAAAAACAAAGAAAAAAGAAATTGATATTAATCATCAAGGAGGTCATATGAGTTGGTGAATTTTGTTTTGGAGTCAGTTGTGTAATTGTCAAAAATATTGACTATGTGAACTCCTTGGGCTCTGATTGGATGTCTTTGATTGGGATTTTCCTTCAAGTGATAGATTGACCACCGATCAATTATAATTCTATATTTTTAACATGTTACTGTAGGTTGAGTGTGGCATGATATCATATAAAATCCCTGATTGCGTATCAAATTTCCAAAATTATGGTGATGATTTGAGGACTATAATTTATACTAATCTATTATAGACGGGAAATTGTTATCATGTTTTTCTTTTCTTTTCCTTTTGTTGAGTAATAGCTCACTATGTATATATATTTTTAAAGGAGCTACCACGATGGTCAAAATATTGACGTGGAGGGTACTCTGATTTGTTGACTCGGTATATGATTTGAAGCAATGCTAGTTGGTCCAAGTGGTTCGCATGCATGTCCCGGTCTCCTATTGGCTGCATGGAAAAGAAAATAAAACAACTTTATAATTTTGTCTGTGGACCAATATCTCAACATCACTACCTTCATCTCATATATTTAACAATACTAGTTGGATTGCACGTGCAATGCACGTGGTAAAATTTTTAATATTTATTATAAATTTATAATTTAATTTAGGAAAAGATTTGTTATTAAATTATTGAATATAAGTAATGGACCAAACATATAGACATAAGCTAAAAAATTCAACATTTGAACTATGAAATTACATTTAGAGATTGATTGGGTAATAGTACACTGGTTGAATCTATAAAGAGATCGATCAATCAAATATTGTCACAAGAATATACGTGAAAGTAGTGTTTGATGATGTTGATGTAAATCCAAGCTCATGGCATTAGAAGCTTGAATAAGCCTTTGCAGTACCTAATGTGTGAGTACATATACTCACGCATGAAAATTTCAAAATCCCATATAAATTCCAAAACACTCATTAAACTTTGGTCTTCCCTTTAAATATCACCTGCTACCTTTAGATTCTCTGCATTAAACCGCCCCATTTTATGCTGAAGATCCACAAGAGAATCATTTGCTACCTTTGCTTTTGAACTATTTTTTAAGTCAACAAACTTTAAGGGTTTTTTTCGAAACTTTTAAATTTATTGATTTTCAAAATCCCATTTGTATCTTTGTTTTTTTGCAGGACTTTTATTCTGATTCGTGAGCGGATCCTCTTGATTTATTTGCTAACCCGGGTTGCATACTTTCTTTTGAGTGCCATTGACTTTGAAAATATCTTCAGCTTGTTCACACAACCGTTACCTGCACCCAAATTAGGTGTCCATTATTAGAATATATTGCTTTCTAAAAAATAAATGTTTAGTTTCAATATCTTTCATTTCTTTTTAATTAAGTAGAAATCCTGGTCTAATTTATATATCAGTTAAAATGATTTATAAAACCAAGTCCCTGAAGGGCCCATCTGACTGATTGCAACCGAAACTTTAGGTGCTTTAAATTCTTATAGCTGATCATTAAAGAAATAGGTCCAATTTATGTAAAACGACACCAAAAATGACAATCAAACAATGGCAATAATTAGGGATAATCCATGAAAAATGTTGCCGTGATTACAATAGAAGCAAGTCAATAATCACCTTTCCAGTCAAAAGAAGCCACAGAAGTCCCTCGGGCAATGGCTCCTCCCCGCTTGCAGCAGGTAATACTTTCTGGCATTCAAGGATAGAAATACCCCTAAAACAAATACACTGAAAATATAAAAGTTGTGTCATCTATTTAAATATTTTGGCCAGGCTTAGACATTCTAGAAGGAAGCACACCAAAACTATGCTGATGTTGTATAAAATTTTCATTCTTTTGGCAATATATATAAAAAAGAATTGCACTTGTCTTCAATACATTGCATATATTACAATCAAACTCACCTCATCAGGATCAAGTAATGATGTTTCCCACAATAATCCAGTCATTCCTCTCATTCCACCTATAACCTATAAACATTCAACGACTTGAGATCAATAAACATTATCCACACACTATCGGCTATGTGCCAGCAATAGATGTGTTGCCCACACAGACAAATGGGAAACATAAAATTGACATATCCATAATTTGTTGAGATGAGCACCATATCCATAGTGATGTCGCCAAGTTAAACTTTTCCACATTTTGATTTTAGCTTCTTCAACCGCTCCTGCAATGTATAGTAAAATAAACAAGATAAGGCTCAAGAAATCAAGCAATTATAAGCACAAGGGAACATAAGTCTGAATGTTATATTATTATTATAATGCATAGAGAGAAGAAAGGGTGTAAAGATTACAAAACATAGTTATTTTCTCTAGTGATAAAAGATACTGAAATATAACATTATAATATAAAATTTGAATCCATGTGCAGAAATGCTCTCATTTATAACCATGCTCCACACTCAAGTGATACCTTATTAGATAGACGTGCTCAACCAATGCCTATGCAACTCTAGAGGCTGACACATTGAACTGTATGTAAAGCACAGGTGGATGCCATATTGATAAGTCCAAAGTATGGTACTTTTGAACTGACCTCGTGCAAGACCACTACAGTACAACTATTTTAAACCAAGAAGAATGCCAATCAGGAGGAAGATACACCTGATTCTTGTCCAAGAGCACAATTGTATGAACAGTGAATAATAGAGGATAAAAAATATTAAAAAAACAAAAAGCAATTTATACTGAAGGATGAATTTGACATAAATTCTCAAGAAAATAGGTTTAGGTAGAACCAAACAAGGGGTATGAAACAGTTGAATATTATTGACAATCTAGACATGAGAGATACATGATGCTCTGGAATCAACTCCTGCAATTGCAACTGAAGGTCCTGCATGATTTCAAAAAAATAAAACATGGATAAGCGTAGTGTATAATTCTCCT